AAAGTCTTAATATCATGAAGAAAAAATAAACGAACTTACATTTTATTTTTTATATTTTATTTTCAAAATATATGGATTATTAAATATAAAGAATCAAGCTGTTCATACAGTTCCTTTACCGTGATATCACCTTTATTGTAAAAGAAGATAATGCCAAACCTAATGCCTTCATTAGTCACTAGACATAAGTCTTGTTATATTTGTCACAAATGTGAAACTGTATGAAATTACTGGTCATCACACATTGGGGCGTTCAGAAACCCTACTCCGTGAGTAGAGTAACATGTAATTAGCCAATCAAAGCAAAAGGAACTAAGATTTATTTATTATGATTGATTTATTAAAGTAACCCTATCCATCGAGTAAGATTTCTGAACATAGCTTTGGATGTGCACACTCGCAAACATCTTACAGTATTAATTCACTGGATGAAGAGCTCGCTTATATTAACACATTTGTATCTTCAAGTATTGCGTTGCATCGTCCGTCACGTTATGACGGAAGTTCAAGAATCGCGTGATTCTTATTTTCACACAGAATGTGCATCGCGACGCATCAATGCAATATATGAGCAGGCACAACATAACTTAATATTAACGATTTGTATGTGAGTCAAGGTAAATGTATAAAGCAAATAAATTGAATTGTGTTTGAGGATCAATTCAACTAAACTCCGATTAACTTAATCACTGATTACCTTATGGAGCGATCAATATAAAAATATCTAACGATATAATTTTATAGTTTTCACATTTAATAAAACAAAAATTAATAACCATTAAAAAAATAACACAAAATTTCAACTGAATCGTTAGAATATACTAATTGTTTTTAACTAATAACTGAAATTTAGCACAATATTATTTAGATAATAATTTAAACTTACGAATATTTTTTTACATTATTACGATTTTTTTACATTATTACTCAACTGCATCATAGCGAATGGAATGCGCAAAATATAAGATTTTGCAAGACACGTATTCTGGAAAACACAAAATATAACTACTGTATAACATAGATGTAAACGTAATCTTATATGTGCATATATATATATATATATATATATATATATATATATATATATATATATATATGCACATATAAGATTACGTTTACATCTATGTTATACAGTAGTTATATTTTGTGTTTTCCAGAATACGTGTCTTGCAAAATCTTATATTTTGCGCATTCCATTCGCTATGATGCAGTTGAGTAATAATGTAAAAAAATCGTAATAATGTAAAAAAATATTCGTAAGTTTAAATTATTATCTAAATAATATTGTGCTAAATTTCAGTTATTAGTTAAAAACAATTAGTATATTCTAACGATTCAGTTGAAATTTTGTGTTATTTTTTTAATGGTTATTAATTTTTGTTTTATTAAATGTGAAAACTATAAAATTATATCGTTAGATATTTTTATATTGATCGCTCCATAAGGTAATCAGTGATTAAGTTAATCGGAGTTTAGTTGAATTGATCCTCAAACACAATTCAATTTATTTGCTTTATACATTTACCTTGACTCACATACAAATCGTTAATATTAAGTTATGTTGTGCCTGCTCATATATTGCATTGATGCGTCGCGATGCACATTCTGTGTGAAAATAAGAATCACGCGATTCTTGAACTTCCGTCATAACGTGACGGACGATGCAACGCAATACTTGAAGATACAAATGTGTTAATATAAGCGAGCTCTTCATCCAGTGAATTAATACTGTAAGATGTTTGCGAGTGTGCACATCCAAAGCTATGTTCAGAAATCTTACTCGATGGATAGGGTTACTTTAATAAATCAATCATAATAAATAAATCTTAGTTCCTTTTGCTTTGATTGGCTAATTACATGTTACTCTACTCACGGAGTAGGGTTTCTGAACGCCCCAATGTGTGATGACCAGTAATTTCATACAGTTTCACATTTGTGACAAATATAACAAGACTTATGTCTAGTGACTAATGAAGGCATTAGGTTTGGCATTATCTTCTTTTACAATAAAGGTGATATCACGGTAAAGGAACTGTATGAACAGCTTGATTCTTTATATTTAATAATCCATATATTTTGAAAATAAAATATAAAAAATAAAATGTAAGTTCGTTTATTTTTTCTTCATGATATTAAGACTTTTCACGAGGTTGAAAATAACTATATATTTAGTTTTTTAACTATAATTATATCTCTTTTTTAATTTTATCATTTTTATAATCATGTGATCTTAAATATTGCGTCACTCTATGTAATAAATTTAATAAATTATGAAGTTCGTCAACTAACTTTATATGCCAAATACACAACAAATGTAAAATAACATAAAATTAAGTTATTTAAAAGATTAAGTCCCGACCTACAATAGATAGGCCTTAAGCCGTAAGAAATTAACTAATCACGATTGATTATTCTTCTATAATTCGACTATGATTGGACAATTTCTTCAAGCTTAAAGATTATTACACCTATTGCACATCGAGACTAAGAGGAGAGTGATCGTATTCTCTGGAAGAAGAGGAAAAAGGAGGGACGGTGCGAATCGGCTGCGCCGCACCGCGACGTGTACTTCCTGGCTGTGTTTCAAAATTCACTGCCAGCATTGAAAAGCTATAATTTATGTTACATATATTATAGATTATCAGCTCTGTTAATAATGCTCTATGCACAATGCCTGACAACAGACAATTGGAATAGGCATCAACCAATAGAAACAGGGATTAAAAATAATTGACCAATCCGGACTCCTATTGCCTGTTCTTATTGCCTGTTGCCTGGCGTTGTGCATAGAGCGTAATTTTGGAACACAACTCTTGTCACAAGGTTGTTTGATGATGTCATACATCATTGGCGGCACGCGGGAACTAGGTTTCACGTTGCAATAAAAACCAGAAAAGCTACGCGCAGTTTTCATCCTACTTCGTCGGAGCCAGTTCATTGCTGCAAGTCAGTACGCGTAGAGCGTGTACTCTTTTGAACAGTCTTTTGGTTGTCGAACAGATTTAGTTCATGTCTTTCCTTTCATACCCTTATAGAAATATCATACTAAGAATCATTGAAAATTACTTATTTTCAATATTAAAAATACTGGATAATAAGTAATTATCAATGATTCTTAGTATGATATTTCTATAAGGGTTCTTTCTGTCTAATATATAATGTCTATATTAATAACTATATAAATTTATGTTAAAGTCTCTTATTAATACATATTTCTGCAATTAATTACATGATTTAAATACTACTTAAATGTGAAGCGATTTTTTAAATTTCTCTACATTTACTACAATACATTAGAGCGATATACAACTGTCTACAGCAAAACTTTTTAAGTAGAAAGCATTTTAAATGATCAATAACAATGGAAAGCCGTTATGCATAAATTTAAAAAATAATCTCTCGGAAAATTTAAAGAAGTATGCCGGAACAAAAGAAATTCTGCTTGCTAATGGCAAAAATATGTAAAAGGGCAAAAAACAGCCATTGCAACACTTGATACATATTTTTTGTTTTGAGACTATAAATAAAAAAAACTTGGATAAGATACAGTATCTGATATTAGTGCAGATATTAGTATCTGCAATCCTCGTTTATAACATATATCGGACGCATACAGTACGTCCGCTAGAAAATTTAAATATTATGTCGAGACGCAGAAGCGAGTTAATGGATATATGATGTGCAAATACAATTTTTTTTTCAATAACAGCTGCTACCTTCTACTTCATAATTGAATTGTCTCAAGAAAAAAAAATTAAATAATTAAGACATTAAAATAAGAATAAAATAAAATAATTAAAAAGGGAAATAAAATGAGGAAACAAATTGAGTTAATTGACAAATATAGCAATTAAATTACCGATTTAGTTCAAAATTAGACTTACCTAATTTTCTAAATAAACGGTTCATTTTATGACGAGAAAAATGTTAGAAGTTTTAGAAACTAGGTAGAACAGGTAGTCAAAACAATGTCAATCTGATATCATTTTGACCAAGAAATTATGTAAATTTAGTGAATATTTGATCAAAATGATATCAGATTGACATTATTTTGACTATCTATTTTACATGGAAAACACTAAATACTAACGTATAACTAACGTATAACTAACATATAAGTAACACTAACTATACATACATTAACAATATTAAAAAAGCTTGCACGGGAGATTCTATCGAGAGCAAAGATATATTTGCGAAATAATCTTCTCTTATAAAACTTTTGTTATCTCATCTATCTATAAGAAATTGCTAGTCAGCATGACATTATTTATTACATAATATTAACACACAGTTAGATGATTGGCATTATGTCAGCTTATCTGTTACAAATGTATCTTGAAGATACATATGTTGTTAATATAAGCGAGCTCTTCTTCCAGTGAATTAAAACTGCAAAGTGTTTGCGCGCGTGCACATCTAATGTGTGATGATGAATAATTTCATATAATTTTACGATTGTGACAAATATTACCCGACCTGCATCTAGTGACTAATAAAGAAATTGGTTTCGACATTATTTACTTCTGTAATAAAGGTAACATCGCAGTAAAGGAATTACACGAGTTTGGAAATAACATTGCAGATATAAAATATTCGTGAAAGCATAAGGAACGCCGAGCATTTAACACTATCCCCTTATAGAAATATCATACTAAGAATCATTGATAATTACTTATT